TTGTCATGTGGGGTAAGAAGTGTCTCTGGCGGAAGATGAGCTCTGTAGATGAATGCCTCACCTGTAAACCTTTTCTTTTCTTTTGAAAAATGTTATAGCCACTTACTTTGGGTTATGAATGCATCTTTAACATGTTCATAATCAGTCAATACAACTGCAGGTAGTGGGGTCCAAACTGTGAAGCATGGTCCATAGGTTTTGGATAGTTCATCGAAATATTCATGTATATTCTCAGCAGGGAACTGAAAAAATTAGTCATTCTAATATCGACTTGTTTTCTACAACTAACCTGTAACAAGTTTCCAATGAAAGGCAATGGGAATGGTCCCTTAGGATACTTTCTCACTTTCCAATAGAAATGAGCAATATATGCAGCGACAAAAACTAAGAAACTGACAATGAATACACTCATTTTCAAAGGAATGGCTGTACATCAAAGTTTTAACGGTATTTTTATACAGAGACTGTTCATTAGATAACATCGTTTTGGGTCACATACACCACGTTAACTACAAGTTCATTTTGGTTGAATTATTGGTCGGGTAAAGATAAGTGTTTATGGTGTTTTGTCACAAATATCACAGAAACTCAAATGATTAATGGTTATTCACAAGAACGGTGCTTTTAAACTTTAATATATTTGTGATTCACAGAATTCGCCTTGATTTTTTAATATTTTGAAGACATTTATTGGAATCAAGTCCCTGAATACATAAAAATTACAGTACCAGAAGAGTTTCTTTGCGAAAAATGCATAAAACTTTACATTCTAAATTCATACAACCCAAATGACACTGCTAAAACTAAAAATTTGCTCTCATTTCACAAGTATATGGCTTGATAGTCAAAACAGCTCCAAAATTATATCCCATATCCACTGGACCATTTGGAATGAACTCGTACTTTTGAATCAATGCAGTGAAAATCAAGAATAGTTCCATCCTGGCTAATCCTTCTCCGACACAACTTCTCTTTCCAAGACTGAACGGAATAGTTTTTTCAAGAACTGCCTGAAATATTCTATTTTTCAAAAATTGATCAATGACACAGGCTTACCTTGTCAAAAGTTTTCCCGTCTGGCAGGAGATATCTGTCGGGATTGAACTTCAACTGGTCTTTGAAAATCGGATCGTTTTTCATGACAGACCAGGTCTGAGCAGTGACATTTGTACCAGATGGAATAGGATTCCCGAGGATCTCAGTGTCTTTGGTACCTGAAATTCAGAACCTGAGTTTCAATTCTCTTTTTTCTATCTTACTCTGATGAGTTCCCAGAAATGGTACCATGTTAGAATGTCTTTGAACTTCATGAATAACTGCTTGGGTGTATGGCATATTTGGTTTATCTGACATTGATGGGAGTCGAGAAGTTCCGACATTTTCAAAAATCTCTTTCCGCACTTTATCTTGAATCTCAGGATATTTCATCATGTATGCGATGTGCCAGCGGATAGCATTTGAAGTGGTCTCCATTCCAGCAAGCCAGAAGTCAAGAACACAGGCGCACAGGTTTTTCGTGCTGAAAGGAAAACCTTCATTTTTATTATGTAAATTGAATACACTCACTCGAGTCCTGGATGATCACTTCTATCCATTTCCTGAAGGTAAGCATGAACGAAGTTCTCAGGCTCACTTTCTTTGTCATACTTTTCTACCTGTGATGCTACCTCCTCTTCAATGAACGATTGATACTGAAACAGAAAATGAAGTTTGTTGTTTGATCTTTCTTATCACTCACCGACTTGATGTTTCTTTTGATGCGATGATAACCAAGTTCTCCAATTATTGGCAAGTGACGCAACCAAAGGAACGCCGACACCAAAAGTGAACATTTTCCGAGTAGAATCCTCAAGTGATAGTCAACAACGGCTACAAATTGTTTGAATCGTTCACAGTCGTTGTACTTGTAATGGAATCCAAACAAAAATTCATTGATCACATTTCCAACACAGAGCTGAATCGGCCAAAAGATGTCTGCTTTCTTTTTGTCAACAGATTTCTCAAGTTGGATCATCATCTCTTCAATTGACTTCACAATTTGTTCCTCCATAAGATTTCTTCCCATTCCAAAATCTCTAAGAATTTTCAAAGAGGTTCGTCTTTGAAGACGCCAGTTGTCTCCACTAGAATTCAGAATTCCAGTGTTGTCATGTGGTTGTAGGAGTGATTCTGGTGGGCGATGCGCACGGTAAGTGTAGGTTTCTCCTGGAAAGTAGTCCGTTTTTGACAAAATCGTTCAAAAAATCTCCCATTCGGAAAAACTGAACCTTACATAGAAATCGCTAGCTGTCAATCATCTTTATTTGATCAGATGTGGTGACAGCATGTATTATATCTTTTCCGATTGTGTCTGTTCTCTCGTCCGCCTCATTGGCTCAGTGGCAGAGCGTCTGTCTAGTAAACAGAAGGTCGCTGGTTCGATTCCAGCATGAGGCACCGAATTTTTTCTGTTTCTTGGAATCTATTTCATTCTGTTTTATAGATTATATTTCTCGGATTTCTCAATATAAAGAAAATATAGAAGCTCAACGTTAAGTTTATCATCGATGATAACTACCCCTTAATAAGTTGTGATTTCCATTCCTTTTCCTGCCTGATGAAAT